AACAGTTTTCATTCAATATACACTGACTGCCATATGAAAGGCCTGCATGAGCACACAGTTGACAAGACATTGGCACTAATTGTTATCACACAGGACTGAGAAATGGAGAGTTGGATTGACTTTCTATCTCACTGAGACAGGAACAAATTCATCAAAGATTGTCTGTTATCTCTGTAACTGTCAAAGGAGCTACAGATTAGGTCAGGAGCGAGCAAATACACAGTGTTGTGCTTTCAGTATCTCCACATCTGTGTTCATATGCTGAGAGAAAAACAGCTTTTTGCACATTTTTTAATGAAGAAAAATAACAGTTAAAAAGTAATATTTTAAAACAAGTATTGTTTAAAATACTGAAAACAGGAAGATCAGTAAATCAAAACCAGATGGTGATGTGACCCAGCATCAACACCCTGCATGGTGTGTGAGCTCCCTTCAGACTAGCTTTAACCTGGTCCCTGGATGAAACACCATCACCACATCTATACTGTGAAGCATCAAACATTAGCTTCAACTTGTACTGTTATAAGTGCACAACTAGAGCTCCCAATTTAATATCCTCTGTTGGACATCTGGTTTGTGTGTAACAAAACTTCCTTTGGAACCAAAACAATATGTAACAACTGCAACTGATTGCAGAATTAACCTCAGAACTGGGCTACTGTTTCATGTTAAATATTGGGGGTACATCCCTGGAATAACACCTGTTTAGATAACTGGTCTAGGATTAAGTGCCTCTAAAACAGAGAAGTATGTGACTTAGAGAAACAGTGACAAAGAGGAAACTACTCCCATCTTTATTATCCCACTCTCTGAAATAGGACATAACTCCATGTGTCCCATTTATATAAAGTAAAAGATCTGGTTAAAAATGTGATGCTTATTCTAGCCTCTAAAACTGTCTGCTCAGACACTGGCAGACCACAGAACAGGAAGAATTTGAAAGGATATATATATATGAATACATAGGAATTTCTCAGCCTGATTTCAGCAGCTGTCATTTAAGGTGTCAGATGTGAAATTCAGGACATTTAGACTGGTTCCTTAAATGCGTATGAGATGTTCTAGCATTAGACCTGGATACAGCATATTATGAAGACTTAAAAAAAAATTATTTGGGAGTGTTAAAGTCATTGGCATTTTGTTAGCTATTTGCAGTGACAATATAAAAGTATCATAAATAACTAATATTGCTGGAAAATTCAGAAGTATACTACTATTTAAAAACATATAAGGTGGCTTTAAAGTTAAGTCACTAGACTGTGGTCATGCTCACTGGAAGATCAAAAATTCACCTCAAATAATCTACAGTTAGTGCTTGTGAATCACCATTGCCTTTTCCTCATACAAAACAGTCCTTTGGAGCCAAAAGACATAGGTTTAAAACACTGGGTATTTCTGCTTCCTTTTATTCCTTTTATGATATGTCATCATGCTTTTATTGCCACTCTTCAGAAAAATATCACTAAGTTTAAAGGTATAAACAGTATTCATTCCTGTTTGTTCTTTCCTATAAATCCTCTAGCCAGATTTACACCAAAAGCAATTTGAAAACTTTTCCAGGGGGACTGCATAAAAGATGCAACATATACAATGTTTTTATTCTTTCAGCCGATAATTTTATAATCTTGAATTTTTTTAAATTATGTACCTAACAATGTTCCTAGTTTATCTATTTGTAGACACCAAGGGATTCTATGTGTAAAGCTGAGCAGATACACAGCAAAAAAATATTTACTTTTTCTCAAATAGCTCATTCCATTTCACCACAGATTATTTTAAGCAAAGACTGTGACTAGAGAGATCTGTAATTTGAAGTAATGCAATCCTACCTTTGAGCTGCAAACTGACTTTCAGCTTCCTACATGGAGAAATAGAGATGCTGAAATTTTTATATAGAAGGGAATGCAACTGGCATTTTCCTGAACAGGGAATATGCACTACACGGTATAGTGTCAGAGCAGATTATATCCCATGAACACTACCTGTGAATTATAGTGGTATCCATTAGCACCGCTGTGGTCACAGATCTGTCAGCTGTGCCAAGAGAGCTGTTGTTGCTAAGAGGTGTAGGGAGGCAGGGGTGTTGCAGATCAACCACTGACATGCATTGTTGCTGGAGATTTTTATATTTTTTTTTCATCTGGCTTTTTTATTCATCTCTCTCCTATTCTGCTGTTTGAAATAATCTGTTTTCACATTCAAAAGCAATGTGACAAGGATGCAAGTTCACTTGTACTGTTAGGTTATGTGGAAAAAAGGGTCAGGCAGGGGAAATTCAATAACCTGATCACCTACACCTGCTCCCTGTCTCGATCTGGAGAGCTCCAGAGGAGCATCACCCAAGTAAAGCTGGGGACAACACCCCACCGACTGAGAGAGGTACAGGATTTGTGATAGGATGAAGAGGAGGAATTTCTTGCCATTGCATAAGACTTACAATGAAAAATTTAAGGGAGGAGCAAAAGGAGGAGAAAGGGAAGAATCAAAGTGTTTGATGGAATAAGCATGGGAAAATAGATTAATAAGGTTATAAAAGATGATGTTCACATACAAATAGTCATATATCTATATTCCAGTTGCTCTGTTTGCCTGCCTGGCCATGCCCTGTAACCATCACCACAGTCAGTCCTATCTTCTCGTTTAATCCCATTTCTACTTCTTTACCTTAGTGAGGAACTTGTGTGTGCTTGGGGTGGGAAGGATCTGAGTGCCAGAAACTAGAGTCAGACCATGGGTCAAAGGGACTATGTATCTGTGGTGCCAGTAATTGTAGACACAAGACTGCACACACTGTGAGTGATTGTGTGTCAGCATGCCATCCCCAGCAAACATCAGACTGAACAAGTCAGGGAACAGGATACATGGCTTAGCAGCCGGGTATGGATGTGAACTCAAGTTTGGGGTCCATCTGAGTATGCAGGTCTGTGCGGGAGACAGCTACTAGAAGGACCCAGAGGTCAAGGCTGATTGCCAGAGACCTCGGGGTCCAGAGATCAACTGAGAGAGGGAGAGAGAGAGTCTGTGTGTGTGTGTGTGTCTGTGTCTGTGTCTGTGTCTGTGTGTGTCTGTGTGTCTGTGTCCGTGTGTGTGTGTGTGTGTGTGTGTGTGTGTGTGTGTGTGTGTGTNTGTGTGTGTGTGTGTGTGTGTGTGTGTGTGTGTGTGTGTGTGTGTGTGTAACAATCTGAGACCAGATGCACAAGCCAGTCACTGAAAAGACTGGGTGTCTAAGACTGGCTGATGGAGGGATCCACAGTGCAGGTGTCTGTGTGTCTCTGCACCTGTGCAGAGGGAGGACCTGGGGACCTGTACCAGCCTTGGAAGTTGTGTGCCTAGGTCCCAGAAACTAGAAATCCGGGGATCCAGAGGAAGCTATTGCACAGGCTGTGTCTGAGCCTCACTTTTGGAGGGACCCATCTTGCATATGCATATTTATTCCCAATTATGTATCTTCATCCTTATCAGTCATGGGGAGTAAGAAGATGAGGTCACATATGCTAGGATTTTTTCAGTGCTGAATGTTTCTGTTTATTTTGATCTGTGTAGCTGGAAATGTCTAAATATAAAAACATGATTTGTGAATTTGTGACTAGGAATGCATGACCAGGAGATACAGCAACACTAACAATACCTGGCTTCAGCAGGTGGACAGAGAATACGACCAGCAAAAATGGTTTCTGCAAACAAACTCGTTTTATAAATAATATAAAAATAAGTATAAAAGATGAATAAATATCTTGTTACACAAATAATCGTTAAATATTACAGCAGTAACACGTTCTATTCTGCGGCACTTTCAATGTATCATATAGGAAGTGCATATAAATCTAAGGCAAAAATTACTGTCTTTCAGTGGAGAAGTCTACTCTTTGAGTTATCCCCATTTAATCTGTACAACAATGACCCTGTAGCTGGTACAGTCAACTGGATCAATATCATGCCTATTTGAAGTACAATAAAGATAAATAAATAGATGTATAACATGGAAAAGGTCAAAGGTTTTAAAATTAGAAAGGGCCAAATACTGTTGCTTCCCTAAAGTTCTCTAGAACTATGCATGTCAGACAGGCAGGATTTGGCTTACAGTCAGCATTAATATTCAGGTCTGATGAAATCAATAAAACTGCTGCCTTAAGATGTAAATGCATGGAAAACAGCAATAAAGACCTCCTCCATACTGAAGATTACTGCCATCACAGCAGAACTATAGGAAGCGATCATGTAATCACTAAGTAACTTAATGCTAAGTATAACAGATATCTCTACATAGCTAGAGGTAAAATCCTGGGGGGGAAGGCGGGAAAAAGGAATTCAAGCTCACTTCTTTTTAACTAAATAATAAAGTGAATATCTTTAAAATTGCACTCAAGTTTCCTTAATGCACATCTGAATATACTTAGCACTACTTTAACAACTACAGAAGAGTTGCAGCCTTTAGTTCTTTTCTGAACTGAGCACACAGAGGTTGAAAACTCCACAAAAACTTGCATTTTTTGCAAGCTTCAGTGGAAGTACTGAGAAAGCAAACAACACCTCATAGGGTGAGCTGGTATTCCATAACACCTGAATAATATTACATTGCATATGTTAAACCTTCTTGGACATTTCATACTCTGCAGTAAATTTTACTCCCACAGGTAGTTCTATTACAATCATTAGATTTTTTCACATGAATGCAAGTTCAGTGGATGCGGAAAATTACTTTCTGCCTCAAGTTTTCTTGTTACCATAAGAGTAAATCACACTATGCTAGTTGAATGTAGATTCTTGTCATTTAACAGGACAAAGGTTTAATAAAAAACATTTATTTACTTTTATAGTTCCTTTCATGTCTGCAGAAACTTTAATCAATAGCTACAGATTAATTTTCTCTTCTTCTTGATATAATATCTGTTTAACATGCCGCCAGTTTTAAAGGTTAGAGTAGAAATGACTACATCAGTTTTATCACTACCACAAGGTCTCCTGTAAACTACTTAAATCCATCCAGCCCAAAGTCATACCTTCTAACTACAGGCAGTTAATGGAGTCTAAGTTTAATCCCTTCTCTGCAGCCATTAGGGTTTCAGCCCACCAGCCTGGTGGCTCCAGTCAGCAGATACCTTTTGCAGTCCTAGTGCAAAAGCTGTGATGTGATGCCGAAGAGGATTCAGGATTTCTGCAAATACAGAGAAAAAAACCTTCAGATCCAAATACAAGGGAACTGCATTCCAAATTTTGCATCAGATCCTGTTTCTCTGCTATGCCTAGTGACTAATGCCCAAAACCACTCCAAGGTGGAGAGTCTGTCCCCCACCTGATACCACCATAGCTTTATGCCTGCGAGCTCAGCCCTTTGCAAGGGGACACCAGACAGTGTGTGGGCTCCTCCATTTGGGGAGGTTCTGGGTGCACACCACTTGTGCCCTCTGCCCTCACCAGCTGCTCTGTTCATAGCACAGACCCCAGCCTGCTGCTTTGCATCATACATTAGAGGAAAAATGCCAATAGTTTCTTGGCACCCAGAAGATAACGTGCCTAAGTCAAATTTGAAGCTGTGAATTCCAACTTCACACAGACAGCTAAATCTAGAAGGTGAGATTTCAGGATATGTTGTTCTTACTCCTAAAACCATTTGCAGAATTTGGACTTAATCCTCATTGAATTCACATTCTATTACAATTCTCCCAAAAACCCTCAGCAAGTTTTTTCTTCACTAATTGAGACTTATTTTAGCTCTAGTAGTTGTGAAAAGACATCTATGGAGCTCAGGGCTTCTTTTATCTAGTTAGAGGTTATATTTAATATTCTGGTCAGTTGTCTTTTGCATATGGATTTGCTAGATAACAGAGCTGCCATATTACAGTAATCCAAAAATTAAGAATAATCATCCACTTTGTAACACTTTAACCATTTCACTTTCACAAATGAGAGTCTTTTCACAAAGGATTACCTTCTTTCCTATTAAAGCAACTGATAAAGAATTCTGCACTGTACTGTATGCCAAGCACTACTTATTCTTCCTACAATCCAAAATACTGCAGCAACTTACAAAATCATTTCTAGCAGATTGTTACAGGTAAAATGGGACATTGCTTTTGTTCTTTCAGGCTTTGCATGCCCTCAGGCTAGTGATTTACTATACATCCACAATTTTCAGAAGCACTGTCTAAATTTGATATAGCTTAGTCCATAGATGTTCAGTTTCAAACAAATCAGTTCATGTTTTTGGAGATAATTACCTGTCTTTCTATTTGCTATTGTTATTTCACACAAAGGATTAATTTTCATTCCAGAAAGGAAGACAATTTCAGCACTACTGTATCAAAGAAAAGAAAAAAAACAAACTAGCATCTGTACTACCAGTTAACATGTCTATAGACACAAAGGATTTCAAAATTAACTTTTTTTTTTCAGACTGAAGTTTCCTAAAATTAAGCAATTGTAAACAGTAAATGTGAATTAGGACAACACAAAAAAAAACCCTCCATGTAAAAGGTGGTCTTTCTTTCCCAGAATTCTGTGTTTGTGGTATTTTATTACTTATAAAGTTTGAAGATTCCAGTAATGCTAGTTTGTCTGTACTTAATCCTCAAAGCTCGAGCAGTAAGAATTGGGCTAAAACTCAATTTTCTAGATAATTCTTTTGCCAAAATCATGTAGATTAAAAATTAGCCTATTTTGCCTGTCACTTTTCGGTCATAACCTGTGGAACTCTCATTTTGAATTGATTTTGTGCATCAGGCTTACCGAGTCTGGTAAGGCAACTCTGGCTTGGGTTTCATTCATTTTAAGTCAGCTTGTGTCAAGTTATGATAATTTGCAATAATACTGGCTGCTCATCAAATGCAGTTGTTTCATGTGGAGTTGGTAGTTTAAAGTGATAAGTAGTGAAATTTTCATAACATAAATAAGAGTGCTACTGCCAGTCTTTTGACAAAAATGCTTAGCCAGAATTTTGGGATTTGGGGGCTATTCTACTAGGATAATGCAAGTCTATTTTTGTTTTAATCGTATTTATGGAAAGTCACTTCTATTGAAGAGTGCTGGAAACTGAGACAGTAAGCTTTCTTTAAAAATTATGGATTTGACAACACAATAAGTTAATTATGTGTGAAGCTCACAGATTATTTTGCTGGATATATAGGAGAAGATAAAGGCTTCACTGAGAACAAGGACTCTTCAGGTATGCAGTGCAAGATACAATTTCCTTTAATTCTTGGAACTGTAACCCAGCTTGTACCACATCTGGCCACTCTGCAGCCCAAAGGACTCAATACCCATTTACATCCAGGTCAGTGAGCATCTAGGGAATTTTGATTTCTAACTTAAAGCTTAGAAAAGGATATCTGACACTAAAAAGCAGACATCACATCATGTTCTGTGTGAATCTCATTGCCATGGTTTCAGCATGCTCTGTACACACCTTGGTCAGGGCTCCTAATTGGCCCTGGATATCACTTGGAGTTAGTGGTAAATAGATGTCTAAGTGTCTCAGACTGAGAAAGCTCTTGGCATACAAAGAGATCAAAACCTGACATGGCCACCTTCTCTATACAATATATTTTACTCTCAGTATAAATTTGCCTCTTTCACAGTCTTGCAACAAGCTTTGAAATCTACAGCTTGTATGTTGCACAGAAACTAAAAGGATCCTTTCATTTGTAATTTGGATGTGAGGACCTGACAAATATGTATCAACTGTTTCCTATATAAAGAATTTTCTTATGTTTTTTGATATTCTTACCATTAAATATAAGAGGTGAAGTATATAAATATAAAAATTAGACTGATCAGCTGATTTTATTTCTTTTCATGCTTTTCTGTGTAAAAGTGAATTACAGTGTTACTATAACAGAGCTTGTGAAGGTGAGTCATGCTAAAATAGCCAGAATCCAGCACTACTCCTAATCTTATCAGCAAGGCTTCTCTGGCAACCTCCTTTCCTACAGTAATTGTCATGACCCATCTTTTCAGAGAGGGAGTCTGACTCTCATATCTACATGCTTCTTATGCTTCCATCCTTCAGGATATCACCATGGCAAAGAATTTGAAAGCCTGAAACAGGACGGGCAACCACAGCAGAACCCTGCAAACTTTATGTACAATCTTTACAATCTACAAAATTTAGAAAGGAAGCCAGTAAGTACATCAGGGAAATACCTGCTCTAAGAGGAGCCAGCTGAAAACCCTACAAGCCTAACTACAAGCCAAAATCCCCGCTGTTTTTAAATAGACTGGAAGAGGAACAAAAAATGTACAATGCACAGACAAGATGATGTCCCTTCTGAATTTCAATAGCTGCCTTTTTGTCTTGGGGTGACTGTATGATGCCTATATCCCCAAATCGTCTGTTCTGTTGGTGTTGAATATTAAATTCTGCAACTTTAAGACTGGTTCCAGGAGTGAAGAGGGAGGAAGAAGAAGTGCAGAATTTGTTATCAGAGACTGACTGTGCTGTCTGCAGTGGAGAGAGAGAGAGAGCTCTCCTTTGCTCTTGGTTAGTTTTCTGGCTAGCTGAGGCAGAGAAGCCCCCTGGATTGTTTTTTTTCCCCTTTTTCTGTTTTCCTGGAACTGTTTGAACCAGCTCTGGACTGAAAACCCAGAAGAGCACCGGGAGCTCACACCTGTGGCCCAGAGGGCCTGGCCTGGGCATTTCCCAGCACAGGAGGGACTGAGAGCAGACTGAGTGAGCCGGGCAGCCACGGAAAAAACTCTTCTAAATCTGTTATCTCTTCGGAACGGCGAGAGGTTTTGCTGTTTGATATTGTTCATTTTGTGCTGGGAGGTGTGTTGCCTGTTGAATAAACAGTTTTCTTTTTTCCACTTCTCTCCAATTTTTTTTTCTTTTTTTCTAGAAGGACCTCATTCAGAGGTTTCCTCCCAAATTTGTCCAAACCAAGACACTTTTGCACAGACTTAAAACAGATCACTGAAAGCTTTACAGCACTGCATACAATAGTGTAAAGGCACTATTTACTACTGTGCTCCTTCTGTTGGTATGCCAGCACACAGTAGCAGTGTTCTGTGCAGCCCTGATACAGGCAGATGTCAAACAGCAGAATGTTATCACCTCTGCTATCCAAGGCAGACAGGAGGGACCATCAACCTGACAGAGTAACTTGGAGCTAACAATAACAATTTTAGCAATGTCCATATTGAAAAGTGACCAATCATAAAAAAGTAATACAACTTAACCATATAGCATGACATGAGATAAACAAGTCTGTTATTGGCAGAAGATTCCAATAAACAGCCCTTAGTACTTGCTTTGTGCACAAGTACTATAAGCTTGAATATTGAAGTCATTCATTTCTGGTATTTACATGCTCAAATTTCAATTTAGAGAGGAAAAGATAGGTATTTATGTATCAGTGAAGAAAACAGTTGCTTGCCATTCAAATGTGAACAGTTTAGCGCTGTTTCTTTGCTCAAATTCTAATAAAAAATTTTAAAAGGTTATTTTAAAAAATTATAATGGCAATTTTGAAAGTAATATTAAATAAGAAAAAGTTTCTTTTAAAAGTATGAGGATAATATAATTATAAATAATATTATTATAATGCTAATTGTTTAACTGTTAAATTTTGGTAGTCCATTGTTTCTGTAGAGATGCACTTTAAATGAAAAATCTATTTACTAGTTTCACACAAATAAATTAATAAAGTTGTGTTATGGTAACACACACAGCTAGGATTCTTCATGCTTGCTACAAAAGGATATTATACTTTATTTGAAAATTATTTTTTCTCAATGACAAAAAATTTAACATTCCAGTTATCAGCTAAAATTCCGTCAGAGAAATGAGCACTTACAGACAAGGTATGTAATAATCCTTTTAAAATAATGGTTTGCCAACATCTATACAATGCACTCAAATGAATTGCATGCTTCTTTTTATTTTAAATATTAATAATTAAATTCAGAAATACTCATTCCTGTAATATGAGGCTGTTTTATTATTTTTTAAAATCTGTATAATAATAAAAAAGTGATCTTATAACTTATAAATCTCTTAGTGATTTTGGTACAGAGTTCTATCATAAATTTCAGGGTTTTTTCTGATAACGCTAACCTCCTTTTCA